CACAGCTTCCAGCAGGGCTGTTCCTGGCGTCACTGCAGCCAACTGGGTGCTGCTCTGCTCCCATTACCTCCAGGCTCCAGCTACTCCTCCCGCTTATGTCCCTGTTGCGCCACTCTGAGTGGGGGGAGCTTCAGCTGGGTGGCTCCTGCCTCAGCATGCAGGGCTCTGGTTCTAGCTCCTGGCTGTCTTCCACCATTTCCATTCATCTGACATGATAAGCAGCCACCTGTGGGAGGGCAGAGTGGGTGGAAGGCAGCCGGGAGCTGGAGCCGGAGCCCTGTGTGCTGGGGCAGAAGCAGGTTGGCTGAAGCTTCCCGCCTGTCCACCCAGAGCAGAGTAGCACAGGCAAGGGTGGGAGATGCAGTAAATACATGTCCCTAATTGGGCAGGACAGTCCCAGAATGGGATCAACAGGTCCCAGTCCCGGGCTACATGACTCTGAGACAGCATTTGTCCCAGATTTGCAGTGTCATATGGAGACCAGGAAACAGCAGGTTTACATTTACAGGCTAGCAGCATTCCTACCTGCAAGGGGATCTGAGGCTGCCAGGAGTGGGATGCAGGGGGGTGCCATGTACATGTGTGCGCTTGCATGCTTGCACATGGCCAGGAATACAGCCAGGCAGTGTGGAGAGCAGCTACCTGCAGGTAAGTGTATTGGGGGAGGTGGCAAAGGGGGGCTGGAGAGGTGCAAGTTAAAACCACCATAGTGAGGGAGGGAGTGGGGTAGGGCCCAGAACATAGTATGGAATGGACCGATGGGTGGCTTGTCCAGGGGCTGCGAGGTGGGAGGTGGCTCCCCACTACTGTGTCTACCCCCAAGGTAGAACATGGGGGAGGCATGTGCCCCCCCAGATTTGTATGCAGGGTAGGGGCAGATGTGGTACACAGCCTGGGGGCCTGCTGAGGGCTCAGAGCTCCCCACCCTGCTGCCTTTCCCTCAAGAGCCCCACACTGACTGTGTGTCCTCTGCCTGCCTTGCAGCAGCAAAGATAATGGTGGCATGGAGCTGTGCCCCTTGCCGCTGCCAAGAACGCAAGGGGCACAGCCAACATGAGGCTCCTGAGGGGAGGGCAGCAGCATGGGAAGCCCCAAGCTCACAGCAGGCAGCCTGCGTCTGCCACTACCCCACTCGGTTCTGCTCCGGCCATGGCATCATTTTGAAAAGGTGGTCACCCTAGTGAGAGGAGCCACTGCTGGAGGTGAGGGGAGAAAAGCAGAACCTGGCTGGCTATAGCCACATCAGGAACAGCCTTGCCAGGAACTGTGTACACTGGCTGGGGCACAGGTCCGGGCTGGCAGACCTGTTCTGCTCTCCTTGCCTCTAGCAGCAGCTCCTCCTCCTCCTCTTGCTCCTGCCCTTGCTGTGCTGCTGCAGGCAGGTGGGTGGGAAGTTTCATCCAGGTAGCTCCTGCCCCATTGCACAGGGGTCCGGCTCCAGCTCCCGGCCACCTTCCACCCACTCTGCCCCCCCATGGGCGGCTGCTCATCATACCAAGCCGGCAGAGTGGATGGGAAGCAGCTGGGAGCTGGAGCCAGAGCCCCGCATGCTGAGGCAGGAGCCATCTGGCTGAAGCTCCCTTCCCCCCACTCAGAGCAGCACAGCAGGAAGAGCCACAGATAGAGGTGAGGGGAACACAGCAGCATCCAGCCAGCTGCAGCTACATCAGGAACTGCCCGGCTAGAAGGTGCGCACACTGGCTGGGGCCCAGGCTGGCAGGCATGGGCAGGAGTGCAGCATGGGCTGCCCTGACAGGAGTGGGCAGGACTAGGCCCCGTGTGAATTGCTGCAGGGGCAGCCATGGGTCAGATCCAGTCAGTTGTTGGGCTGAATCCAGCCCATGGGTTGTATTTTGCCCACCCCTAATTTATATGGTAAGTCATGTCCAGTATATGCTCTACTAACTTCTAGGCCAGGATTCAAGTTGTATCAGTTTCAGCTTTGATTTAGGCACCTGGCTTTGATGATGGCCCACCGAAATTGCCAGCATCCGTCACAGATGAGATTCCAAAGTCCTCCCGCAACTTAAAAACCCATAATCCTTCTAAATTCAATAGAAAAACTTTGGAAACGCCCAAGAGCAATTCAGGTTTAGGTCCTTATGGGTCAACCCAGAGAATGAGATTCACCCCATTAACTTCAGCACCTAAATTTGATCTAAGTCTCATTTAGGTGCCTCAAGAACCAATGTGAATCCAGCGTTTGATTTGCATTGCCGGAGCTTTGTGAAGCACAAGGCTAAAGTACTTTTGTACAACTGCATTATCATTTTCAAGGGCTATATTCTATTTCACCCATGTCTAAAGTATAGCTGCTGGCACAATCTTGATGTACATGCCCGGAACGAGGGACACCTTCTAGTTTACCTGTACTATTGTACTTCTATCTGTGTAGACACATACTTTTAATGGGGAGAAAATAAGCTGCTCATGTGCCCCTAGAAAGGAATTTTACTTCCTTCTACAGAACCACAGCTCAAGGGAAATTACTTACAGATCTTCAGAGATAGATTCTTGGTTATACAGGATGCGTGTGTGGCTCTCCATTCATTTCAGTGAAGACCTTTTACTAAGCATGGACAATAGCATAAGGATCTTCCTTCTCTTAAAAAAAAAAAAACCCAAACAAAACTACTGGTTAGAGCACTCACCTAGGAATGGAAAACCCAAGTTCTAGGCCTCCTTTGGTGTGGGACTTTGAATCCACACCGTCTATAACCCAGCAAGCTGGTTTAAACCCCAAATTATTGCTACAAGCATCTTTGACCCACCTACCCTCATCTCTAGAATTTGGCCCACTAGACAGCCAAGAGTCATGGAGCCAGAAGGAGACCAAGCAAAAAGAACTTGTCACCTAAAAGAGAAAGTAAATCCTGAGATCCTGATCTCAAAGCTCTTCCTTTATTGTGCTCAATAATTCTGTAACGTCAGAAAGTATATTGGGAGTCATGTCATTCTACGTAATGGCACTATAGTGGGTTACGTTTTAGTACCAGAGGCAGAATCTGGCACAGTGGAATTGCATCAGTGCTGTTAGGAAGGGCTCAGAACTGATCATATGGGGTGATCAGAGACTAAACAGATCACCAATCCTTAGTAACTTCACCCTTCTATGTAAGCACCTGGATGTGTGGTAAGAGGTGTCACAGAAGGGTGATTTCATTGTGGACAGTTAGCTGATGTCCCCTAAGGTAAGAATGCCTAGTGACAGAGGGATGGAAAAAGCAGAGCACTTCATATGCGAGTTTTCTTTTTCCAAAATCAAAATTTTGGAAATGGTTGTAGCAAACTTCAACACATTGAAGTTTGCTACAACCATTCACCAGGCACTTTTTTTTTCTTTTCCTTAACAGCCACACCCTTCTTTCTATTAGGGATTTCGTGTCATATTTTCCAAGAGGTCTCTCCCTTCATAGGTTACTACTATAATGAGAACTGCTAATAGAAATCTTTCTGAACAGTGCAGTCTGAGCATCTACTCCAGCCCCAAGGGTAGGACGTTTTAAGCAAGTGGAACCTGCTCTCTGCTCCCAGTGCTACTTACACAGCTTTCCCAATGACTCTGTAATGCAAAATACACAAACACTGGAAGCAAGGGCTTACTTCATCTCTGCTAAGGCAGCATCCTCCTTCCTTAGGCACAATCAGGATCCCTCTTGTTTCTTTTCCTCCTGTCCCCAGGATGCTTGCCTTTTGGCTGCCCAGTGGTCTAGCCTGAGACCACAATTATACTGTCATACCATAATATTAAGTGTACAGTTATGTTAAGACATAAGTACATGATTAAAAGAGGTCATAAGCATAACTCAGTTGTCACAGAAGGCTATAAATATATGAGTAGAAAGCATTATAGATAGATTGCTTTAATGGTCACTCAAAAATATTTACTTGTTGGTTTGTATAATTGTTTAACTATTGGGTTATTTATAGCAGCACCTATTGGTCATGTAGTTTAACTCTTTAAGCCACTATATGAACAGAATTAAGGACCAATGAATCATGAAGTTCTTCAGTAGATGTTATAGCCAATTTTTCAAAAAACTCTAACAACTTTCCATTTGTATATGCATGAACACCCACATGTACACACAAACACCAACAACTAATTGTGCAAGTGTTATAAATGGTAACAAAAAATGCTGGATAAATTGTATCACATGTTGGTATGTACACCTAGCTCAAATTTCTGTAAGACCTGCTACTTACAAGCCAGTATTCAAGATGGGCCATTAGCAGAAGCCCTAAGACCCAGGATCTTGAATCTAACAATATGACCTACCAGCTAAATGACTCAACTGTTTGAGCTAACTCCTTATATAAGTCATAGAATCAAATGATTATGTATGTGGTGCAGTAGGGACAGATAGTCACATGTTATAGGGAACCACAGGCAGACAAATGAAGACTACATTTTAAAAATTTGACCCTCATAATTTAGGCTAGGTCAACACATTTAGGAAGAAATTAAGTCTTAATGCAAAATAGAACATTTTTATTAAGAAACTTATTCCATAAAGTCTCCAAGTAATTACTGTATATTCTGTAGCAGCTGTTCATGATGGGCAAATATTCAGTATGCATAACATTTGCAGCTGGATAAAACAAGGCATTACTTATCAATACTGATAATTATCTTATTGCCATGCATTGTAGAATTAAAATGTGGACACTTGAAAACACAGTGAGGGGTTACAGGATGTAGCTACAACATTAGACCGCAAGGCTCAAAGTTGTAAGGCAATAGCCATGATTATGATAGGCTTCATATTGCATGTAATTACAAGAGAAATAATCATGAAAAAAATCAAAGTTTTTCTTGGTGTGATTTTTGATGGGATATAATTTAGAAATTACCAGATCCAGCCTGGCAATGTATTAGCCTTTTTTGAGCCATGCAACTTAATATGTTATGTTACACAGGATAACAAAACAGACAGATTAGACTCAATGGCAAACATGGAGTATTTGGAATTAAGCGAGTAAGAGACAGAAGCACGTACCCATTTTTCAACATCAACTAGCTGTGGAAAGAAAAAGCAATAAATCAGTAAACTATGTCTTTGAATATAATGTTCCACAGTTTACTTTAATGTTTCACTTGTTTTGGAATGGGTAAAAGCTATTCCCTCTCTATGTTCCTTCTTCTTGCATATGCCAAAAACTTTCTTTTTTAATATTAGTTCATGAAATATAACTAACATTTTAGAGGCCTTAAAACTCCATCGAAAAGTCAGATTACAAGATTAAGACTGGAGTTGAATGAAACCAATATTATATTCTACAAACGTTGTCTACACGTTCTAAAAGCACCAGACACTCACGCTAAAAAGTATATGGATTCACTCCTCCTTATATTTAGCCACAAGAGAAAACATTTCAGCTGAGATATTCCAATGGCTTTAGCCCAAGGTTTGCCATTTTAAGTATTAATGCAAGATAAAGATTGAGAAAGAAAAGATGTATCAGCTGAAATATAGTGACAGAAACTAAAAGTGAGTATTTGAATACTCCACCACATCAAAAGCAGCTTTGTACACACAACATAAGAACTAGTGTAGTATCATATGCAAGTCTTTTATTCCTAGTAAACATTAATCTTTCATAAATGGAGACTGAAAGTTCTTCTCTATAGAAAGGACTTGTACAGACAGCTGTAAAGGGACAATGACTTAAATTGTGCACAATTTGTGTGTCAAAATATGGAGGCATAATGTGCGTGTGGGTAATTTCATAGATGCACCCACTTGAACGCATGACACTACATACTGTGTTAAATCCTTCAGTTCCTACTGTGGCCAAATCCTGCAGCCCTTCATTCTTGCTCAGGAAAAAAAATCATCATTCAAGTATATTATATCCACTGCTTATTTTAAGGGAAATGCCCAATTTGTACTGTGACATAAGTACTGGAATGCTTCCAGCAATGGCTGCTGCTGTGAGAGCTATCCTAGTAAAATTTGTCTCTATAAGTTGCAATATTGATATCCATGCTGGTGGATCTCTACTCATTTCATAGTAAGCTTTAAGTTTTTTCTGTCCCTTTTAATAAATATTAGCAGGGGGAGATATCAGTATTCAAAGTAAACATTTTCTAAATGGGAGCCTAAATTTATGGTGTTAGGTCTCTGCTTTAGACACTTAGGCCATAGGCAGACATAACATTTGAAGCAATCCAAATAGCATGTGTACAGATGTACATGACCAAAGAATTGCTTTGAAGATGGCTAAGTACTTGAAAATTGACCCTCAACAAATGAAACATCTCTGGAGCACTTCCTGAGAAGTCTTTACATTCTGTGTGGTGCAACTGGGGAAGTAGGAGGTGTACTTCTATAAACACAGACAGGGATTCAGTAAACATAGGCACAGTAGCCTGGGTTCAATAAACATCAACATACATGAATGAGAAGAATAAACAATGAACTTTTTTGGAGCAATAGGCAATCTTTACAGACCCTTTGACTGTCTCTACCTCACCTGAGTGACAATCTCCAACTCCCAACTTCTGTAAGTAAGGGAATGTTTCTAAATTATAACTTTTAACACTAATTATGACTTTCATCACTGCAGGGGCATGAGAAGGCAGAGAAGGAGAGACTCGGTCCTCCAGTGGACTTTAATACTTAATAAAAGAACTATGCTGTCTTGAATTTACTAGGGGAATAAATGCTAGGATGGTAATGTGACTACCTATGTGAATTGAAAGTACAATACTACATCTTGTGAAGAGAAGAGTCTCCCAACTTCAAAAAAACACAAAACAAAGCAAAAAAACAAGAATTCCCTTATTGGAGATATTTTGTGTTGACTGAATTCCTTTAACGGATAGGAAGTATGATAGGAGTTTAAGATGAATAGAGCTGTAATAGTAGAATGAGGATCCAGCATCATGTTCTACTGGAATAAGTTTGATGCCACAGGGAAGTATTTAAAGTTGAGATATCTAGAAAAAACCAGTAGAGAACATTACACTAAAGACACCTGACCTCTTCTTTGGATAGTCTTATTTGTATAAAATCAAGTCCTCATGGAAAAAATCAAGGTGCACAGATGCATCTGGTAGAAGAAGAAAATTTGGTTTGTTGATTTCTCTTAGGGTCCAGAGCAGTAACCACTTCATGCAAGCATTCATTTTAAATGTGTTTGGTCCCAGATGGAGGACTAGTTTTGTAGAAAACATTTTCCATGTGCTCCAAAAGATTCAATTTCAGGTTAACTGGGCCTAAAAGCTGTAGCCCGGTGACCTTATTTGATTAAAGCTATAGATGACGCTTTCTGCTCTCAAACTGAAAGGGCCTAGCGTCAGTCAGACATCTAACTCTAAATAAGGCTATTTCAGAGACTTGTAAGTAACTTAGGGGAGACCTACAAACCCATATCTTATTCCACCCACTGTTTATAATATGGTTCTCTCTCGTTGTACTTCATGGGCTGCTTCAATTTATTATGTAAGTTATTTCTGTCTATAGAATCTAACAGGATTCAAAGTTGTAATTTTGATTTGTCTGATCCCCAAAACCAAAGCTCCACATATATGCAAGAAACAACTCTGAATCCCACTCTTTTCTGTCTCTTTCTGAGGAAAAGCCCTTGGGCCAAGTAATTTGTAAGGTGAGAGAAATAAACCTTGCAGTACTGCTCTATTCAGTCAGCACTGCTTACAAAAGCATTCAGAGACAATTAGTGTATGAGATGACAGTTCACATTAGTTTGTATTTTTGTTGTCTGATGCTACCTGATCATTTTGTCCTCCAAGGAAGGGACTGATATGAAACCTGTCTGGAGCTATCTGCACATGAAGGGCCTACATAGCAAGGGGTCTGCTCTCTAAGGTAAAAATCTTCTCCAGTTAAAAATGTAAAGCCCATAACCACGTAGAAAAATAGTGTTGTTTCCCTTCCATTATGACACAAGTTAAATTTGGACTGGCACACCAGCCCCATATCACACTCTGTGACACAGGCAGTATTCACGCCTCCGGTCAATGACCCAAGCGGAAGGCAGTGGGGCACCTAAGCTACCTGGTGAGAGGCCTTGCTGCTGGTTCTGGCTCTAGAGATTAAGATGAAATTGTCAATCTGGCACAGTGTTTTACTGGCTTCACTTTCCTCATAGGACGAGGAAGAGAGGGCTGCCTGGCATAGAACCAGTTCCTGGACTGGGGAAGAAGGACCAAGGCAACCCCCTCCAGCCTGGGCTGCAAGGGAAATTGTACTTTCCCCTACAGCACTGTCTAAGCTCAAGGAGACACTCAACATAGAGGTAAAGCAAGAGACACAGGCCTCTCCTTTTCCTTATGGCTTTTCTTAGCACAGCCCCCTTCTCCAAAACCTGCAGGAGAAACATCCACTGAAAACACCTCAGAATGAAGGAGATCTCAGGTGACAAATCTCCCCAAAACTGAATGGCACCCAGACATGGCTGGGAATTAGAAGACATATACTGGGAGGTCTGGTTGCACCACTGATCATGGTCAAAGCAGAAAAAAACTAGAGGGAATTTCAGGATATGGGACAAACCCATGCTTGGTCATGGGGACTGACAAGTCTGGTTTTGACTCTAAGCTGAAGCAGGCAAACTGACGTATGCATTGTAATGGATGCACGGACCTTAGCATGAAAGCTATAAACAAGGTATAAATCCAATCAATGCATATTCCCCTATATTTTCAAGAAAGGTGAGAGTCTGGCAGTGCTGAGAACTGTGTACTGTATATAAGTGATGTATTTCTGAAGAAACTGACAGCTGCCATGCTCAGTTACATCTACTGGCTGAGAGTCTCAAAGCCGATTAAATATATTAAGCAAAACTCCAAAAATAACCAATTATGGGAACACTTCATCCCAACGGACAAGGACTTGAATGGACAGATCATTCTTGTATTAATCATCCTTATCTTGGGATTGCACTGCTGTTTGATTAACATGTGGTGAGAATAGTACTACTGATGCCCTTGAACCCTGTGAAATAGCCTTCCAGCCAGAATGAATTCTGACCAGTGATGGAAAAAGAAAAGATATAGGACTAGCCTTTCAGCAATTATTGTGGGACCCTGCTTTTATAGCAACCTATTCCACCAAAAGCAAACTTTCCAAGAAACCAAATTCCAGTTTTTGTTGGAAGACCTTCAGTAGTAGTCATTTTAATGGAGATGTTACCTTTGAGTAAGCCATGAGCCTTTCATGCCCAGTGCCAGATTTAGACTTAAACTACAGTTTAGGGTCTCAATACGAGGGGCCTCTAAATAAGAAAAAACAAGTGAATCAATATCAAGTTTTAGAATAATCAGCTGGTAAATAAGGGAGATAAAGGAGATATGGGAAAATGACTCTAAATATGGACATTTTCGTTCTCATATGACAAAAATATACATACACTGGATTATTTTTATCATATGGGGTCTCAAATTGGACATATCTTAGGGCCTCAGCATGTCATAATCCAGCACTGTTTATACCTCTGATATCAAGGTGCATCTCCTTAAAATTGTCAGCACTGGTCCACTTAGCTGCATATGGCTTCCACACTGGATCTCCCCTACACCACACACAAAGAAACCACAATGGTTCTACTTGGTACACAGCCTTATGCATCTATGGAACTAGATTAGATTTGCCTATTTGTGTAAAGGCCACCTTCACAGTAAAATTAGACAACAGTTTGCTGTCTAGTGATGTGGAAGACAGTGTCTTGTTTAAACAAGGACTATAAGCAATTGATCAACTATGATTGGATGAGTAGCTGGGAGTTAATAAATTCATAATACAGTTTAGCTGGGGGACAGTTTTAAAGTGATAGGTAACCATGTAAAGAATTTGCCTGAAAAACTAAATGGTCTAGGAGTGGGAGTAGAACCTGTGAAATTAAAATTTCAGTCCTTTCATGATGGGAGAATAAGTTATGATTTGTATGCAAGTCCATGTACAGTGTGGGTGATCAAATGTTTACATTCTATTAATAAGGCCTGACATGGATTAAAGACTATGCAAGTCTGCCAATATTATTCGTAGCGGAAAAGGCA